ACTGAGCCAGGGCTGGCCTGGAGCGGCCCCTGCCGCTGACCCAGCCCCGGCCTGGGCGCCAAGGGAGTGGCATCAGGCACCAGGGACAAACTTGGGCCCTGGCTAGCAAGAGGGCGGGCTTGGGGGAGACGATGAGGAGTGACTGATGTGGCACCAGCAGGACCAAGACCCAAAGTAAGGTCACAGAGTCGTAGTCGTCTGAACCAGCCTGCAGTGAGTGTATTTCCTGGGCGTCCTGTTACTCACTGTGAGCCACCCCGCTTCTCGCCTCAGTCCCTGGGCGGCAGCCCCTCGGGGCGCCACACACCCTCCGCAGGGAGGGGAGGGCGAGCACAGCCTGTGGGGACACAGGCCCTCAGCCGCCGCCACACGCAGGCGCCTCGCTGCCTCATGAAGTGTCAGGAACGCACTCTTCAGGCACTCACAGGGACACGCGGGTTTCTGGAGGAGGGCCAGCCGGGCCGACTTACACGCGGCCCGGTCATGCGGCCCGGGTCTCGGCCTCGATCTTCTGCTCCCCGTGCAGGCTGTCTGGGTCCTGCAGCTGTGCCATGCTCTGCCTGAGCGCGATCTCGGGGCCGCCTCCGTACAGATGGTTCAGGTAGTTCCAGGTCTCCTCGGAGATCTGCCCGTAGTCGGCTCCTGCAGGATGCAACAGCACACCTGGGCAGGGGCTGCCACCCCGCTGCCTGGGGAGGCCCCCTCCCGGTGGCCAGGGCTCTGAGGGCTAGGCCCCAAAGGGGCAGAGAGCACCTAGGGGTTTCTGTGCAAAGTCACCCACAGGAAAACTCAGGATTTCCCTGGGAAAGGCATCGTGTTAAGGGCCCCCGAGGCCCTGGCTGGCACTGTCCCTTGTCTCGTGGTTGACACGGCAGACTAGGCCAGCAGAGGGAAAGCGGCAGTGGGTGAGGGCCAGGACCCACACGTGTGCAGTGCCCACAGCGGCCAAACGCCCTGGACCTTCTGCTCAGCTCTGGGCCTGGACTTCGGTGACCAGGTGGCAAGGGAGCTCCCAGAAGGCCTGGAACTGGCCAGCCACAGGCTGGCCACAGGGCACACAGGGAAACCTGCTGGGCCCGGGACCAGGGCTGCAGCGGCCAGACTCACCCTGCTTCAGCTGCACGTGGCCGCTCCCCTTGACCTGCGCGATCCTGCTATTGTCAATAGGGCCGGGGGGCTCTGGAACAGACACGACTCGGGCTCAGACCTTGGCCCCTCCAGCTCCAGCCTCAGCCATGCTTCCCACCCTCCAAGGAGAGGGGACTTCGACCCCTGTGGTCCAGCAGGGGCTGTTGGGGTCTTGAGGTCGCGATGAGTCGTTAAGAGGGTATGAGGTACTGGGCACCCAGTGTTCCTCTGCAGAAGTCGAAGAGCCAGGAGAGAGTTGGGGCACCCTTACCTCCCACCCCAGAAGAAACTTCTAGAATATGCCATTGGTCCAGACTCCTGCCTGCTGGGAGCCAGCAGTGGTGGGCAGGGCCCTAACCTGACAGCAGCCACCACTGAGCCCTCCCAGGGCCCACCGGCCACTACACAGACACCTGCCCTGCCAGACCCGGAAGAAGGCGGGCCAGCGTCCAGGCTGGGCTGGGAGTCCGCAGCGTGTTCTCATCCACAGCCACCCGACAGTCTCAGCCAACACAAGGAAAGCTGCTGACTGTTCCCAGACCCACTCTGGCCAGCAACAGGCTGTCGGCAGTGAGGCCCCTGCCCTGCCTGGTGCCAGTCAGTGCTTACACTGCAAGCAAAACAGACGCCCGGTGCCCAGCCCTGCTGGACGGGCCGCATCACAGCTCACCGTTGTCCTTTCCCTTGACGAAGGCCTCCCACTCCCGGAACCACTGCATGCTGATGCAGTAGATGACGCTGGGCGACTCCTCGGCCTGGAACGCCTTGTTCAGCTGGTGGGGAGAGGGAGAGGGAGGGGCGGGGTGGGATTCGCGGCAGGGCACAGGGCCAGCCTCACTGGTGTGAGGCATGAGTTTCCCAGACGCCCCAGTCCGAGCTTCACTGACTTACAAAAACGCTAGACACTGGGAACTCAGAGCTCCACTGCCCAGGTGACGGTGTAGTATTCTGGGACTCTGACTCTTAGTAACGGCCTCAAGCAGGTGTGATCACGTGACAGACGCCGCTTCCCCTCCCACCTAGGAGAATTACCTATTTGCTCACATCGTCATGTATTCATTGGACAGAAGCACGCTTTATTTGCTAGAGGTGCGTGTGCTTATGAGAGATTGTGAGAGGGAAGGTGAGAAGTCACCCCCCCAGGGGGAATGGCCGCGCCGCAATCCCTTCCCTCATTCTCCTCTCGGGACCTTGGGCGGGCGCGCACATGCACCCTGCCTGCGTTTCAAGCCAACGGGAGCAGGATTCGAACCGCGGTCAGCCATGTGAGAGTCCAGCGCCTTAGCCACCATACCACCTGCTGGTCCTGAGTGCTGCTTTTTAACAGCCGCGTCCCCTGGTGCCCCTCCCGCATCCCCCTGGGGCTGGGTGGGATGCCGTCAGGAGCAGCGCGCTGCGGGAGGCGGTGGCACGGTAGCTTTCTGACGACCCGCTCAGGCCTGTTTGCGACTTGCCGTTCCCCGGCCTGCTTCTCCTGGATCTTCCCAGCACCAGGGTGGGGAGTCCTGTGTGGAGTTCCCCGGGGAAGCTGCGGCTCTGCCCGCGGGCCCCTTGGCACTGTGTGGGGTAGCTGGTCGCCACTGGCATCTAGTGAGAGGCCAGGGATGCTGCTACACACCCCAGAGGACAGATCCAAGGTGGAGAACAGAACATATCCGCCCTGGGTTTTTATAAATTTTTCAGAGGGTATGAGAAGTTTTCCAGAGAAAGACAGAGGGGGAAGAAGGAAATTCCCCTCGGTAGGGCGTGGTTGTGCTGTGATCCCGTCTCCATTTCTCCATCCCTGCAGGATTGTGGTCACGTACACACACCTCGTATGTCTTTCAAGCCACTGAGGCCAGGATTTGAACTACATGGTTGGCCTTGTGGGATCTGGCTGTCTTAACCACTAGGCCATAGGGCTGGCCCTCTGCCCTGGTCTTTTCACAGCTGCTCAACAGCGTGCTAGCCAGATGGAGCTGAACTACGAAACTGTCAGAGAAGCCCTCGAGAGCATGTGCCCACGCCAGCCTCCCACAGACCACTTCCTCCAGGCAGATGGCCTGACCACCCGTGGCTCCTCCGGGCCCAAGTCCCCAGGTGCACCTTGATGAAAGTGTCGATCTCGACCCTCCTGCGCTTGGCCAGCGCCTCGATCTCCACCTGGCAGATGGCACACACGTATAGATGGCTCACGGCAGGGCCGCCCCCGAACCTACATCCAGGGCAGGCAGGAGGGAGGAACACAAGCCCCGAGGGGAGGCCCGGTGAGGGGAGGCAGTTGAGGGTCCTCGTGCTCCCATCGGGCCCCCCCTCGGCGCCCCACTGGTCCTCCTCACTAGAGGACCACAGGCAGGAAGGACCCGTGGGCACCTGTCTCGTGGATGAAGGCAGATGGCAGCCCTCCTGTCCTATCCACTAGGCAGAAGCTGCCTGGTGGGCGACAAGGGGCTGCAGGCGAGGAAGCACATGCCCCAAGGCTCCAGGTGGGCAGTTCCCATGGGTTTCTGATGCACCCACTGGCAACTGTGCAGGAGAACCTGCTCCTGCCCGGCAGCTGGGTGTGGCAGAGCAGGTGAGAGGTCAGGAGAGGGGTCCTTCCCGGCCTCTCCTTCCCGACTTCTCTGCCCACCTGGCTGCAGAGTGAAGCCCAGGCTGGTCCCTAATGGGAGAACCACGTGCTCTTCACCTTGTTGGACTTGAGCCTGGAAGCCCCAGGCTAGAGCGGCTGGCTGCCACGCTGCCAGCCCAACCCCACAGCCACCTGAGCAGAGTGGGGCTGGAGGCCTGAAGCCCACCCCAGTGCTCTCGGCCTGCAGTCAGCACCCAGAGCTTTCTGCAGGCTGGGCTGAGGTCTAGCTGGTGTCTGGATTCCCACAAACAACGTATCTTTTTGGCTGAGACAGAACTGACGGCAGGGGACACCGTCAGGGGACAGCGGCACGGGGGCTGTGGGCGTCCCTTCCCTGACTCCTCCCGTCCTGGCAGGGCCTGCCCTCACCTGTTATAGAGGTGCTCCCAGACGTTCTGGGGCAGGATGACCACCAGGTCGTCGATGTAGTGGTACTTGTTGGGTGGGATGCCTGCGGAGGAAGTCACAGGGCACTGGGGGCTCAACCAGCCCACCCGGCGCCCACCGCAGGCCGGCGCCTCACCTCCGTGGGTGCACAGGAAGG